TAGTTATAGGCTACTATATAAGATGTTACTAAACAAATTAAAAGTGCTTTAAAAATACTTTAATAAAAACTTAAAAAAAAAGTTTATTTAAGCTAGCTTTTTACTAGTAGTGTTACTTATACTATTTATAAAGAAACCTAAAAGTAAGCTTTAATTCTGCATTAACTACTAAAAACTAAACACTATTACTATTAAAAACTAATACTTAATTTCTTTTTTATAAAAAACTTTAAGCTAACTAAGTAAAGTAAAGTATTTTATAAAGTTAGATATTATTACTGCCTTTAATAAGCTAAGGATAGTAAAGAGTAATAAGTAGCTAACAGTGTTTTAGACCTAATATAGACTATTTAAGTACCTAGTAATGCCCTTTAGCTTAGCTAACGCGCCTAGTACTTTTTAACATTTTATAAATAACTTACTCTAACCCTACCTAGACATGTTCTACACTATGTATATTAATAATATTTTAATTTATAGTAATAGCCTTTTAAAGCATAAACAGCATGTACGCCTAGTGCTAAAGGCTATAAAAGAAGTAGGTCTATAACTTAATGTAGATAAATGCAAGTTCTACTAATTAAAGGTTACATATTTAGGATATGTAATCTTTATAGATAGCATTTAAATAGACCCTATTAAAGTTTAGACTATGCTAAATTAGTAATACCTAAAGAACATAAAAAATGTTTAAGCTTTTATAAGATTTACTAACTTTTACTAATAATTTATTAATAACTTTTTATAGCTAGTAAGCCTTATAATTACACTTACTAAAAAAAAAGTTTAATTTAACTTTAACTTAAATTACTAATAGTTTTTTAACTAGCTAAAAAAAGCCTTTACTAAAGCTTTAATACTCTACTACTTTAACTTTAAACTACTAATACTTGTAAAAGCTAATGCTTTAGACTATGTAGTAGTAGAAGTTCTCTTCTAGACTAAGCTAGATAGGACTATTAGGCCTATTACATACTTTTTAAAAAAAATAAGTCCTACAGAAAGTAATTATAAGATTTATAATAAAAAATTACTTACTATAGTACACTACTTTAAATAATAGTAACCTAAACTAGAAAGTGCAGCGCATCTAATATAGGTCCTATTTAACTATAAAAACTTATAGTACTTTATAACTATAAAATAACTTAGCTACTAATAAGCTTATTAGTCTAAATACCTATTTTATTTTAATTTTAAAATTACTTATTATTTTAGTTAAAATAAAGAAAAACTAAATGCTTTTATAAAGTAATCTTAAAACATCTTTACTTAAAAAAAAAGTGTAAAAGGCTTAACACTAAACTCTACTTTAACCTAAGCTATTTTTAAACTTTAACTTAAATAAAATAAATTAAATAATTAATTAAATTATTACTAATAAGTATTTAAATAATAAATTTATTTAAAAAACTTTAAACCTACTCTAAAACAGCGCTAGTTAGTTAAAAAAAAGTAACACTAGCTAACTATAAAAACTAAAATAGTAAGCTATATTACTATAACTAACTTATAATTTCTAATTTTAATAAACTAAGAATTAAACTACTCTAAATTATACATAACTTACTTATTAGAGGACACCTAGGCAGAGAAAAGACTCTTAACCTACTACAGAGAGAGTACTACTAGCCCTGCATATTCTATACTATACGCTAATATGTATTATGTTGCTATACTTACTGTAAAGTAAAGGCCTTTTAAAAAAGGTATAATAGCTTACTTAAACTGCTCCTAATCTTTAAATAAGCTTAAAAAGATATATTAATTAATTTTATTATAAACTTACCTCTATTTAAAAAGTATATAAATATTATAGTAGTTATTAATTACTTAACTAAGTATTAACACTTAATACTATGTTCCTTTATAACTGCCCCTAATATAGCCTAGTTATTCTACTAATATGTATAAGTTTACTATAGCCTGCCTAACATAATTATATTAGATAGAGGTACATAGTTTATCTTAGCCTTTTAAGACAAACTTTATAAATAGCTCTAAATTATCCTCTATCTATCTATAGCTTTTTACTTAAAGACTAATAGCTAGACTAAGAATATAAACACTATAATAAAATAAGTTCTATAAGTGTATATAAACTACTAGTAAAATAACTAGGTAAAATAGTTAGCTATAGCATAGTTTAAAGCTAATAACATAATATCTAAATTAACATAAGTATCTCTGTTCTTAGTAAACTATAGATACTACCTTTAAATAGAATTTAAACTACTTATAAATACTTTCTAACTAACTTATTAATTTATATAAGTAATAGACATAAATAAACTTATTAATAAAATTTAAAATATATTTAAATATATTTATAAAAAGCTTATATAAGCTTAAGCTTTTTAATAAGAGTATATAAACTAATTCTAAACCTTTGCCCCTACGTATGCAGCTAGTAAGAAGGTTTAGCTAAACACTAGAAATATCTAAATAAACTAATAATTAAAGAAACTTAATTAAAAAAACTTTAGCCTCTTTATAGTAGCTTATATAGTTTTATTATATGCTTACTAATTAATCCTACCTAACAGCATAAAAATACACCCTATGTTCTATGTATTATTACTGCGCTAAGTAGCCTCTAAATCTAACTATCTACCTAAATAGCTAAACCTGCTACTTAAACCTATTATTATAAATAATAAACTAAAATATATTATAGAAAATGTTAAATAGATCTAGTTTAATAAGAAAAAACATATCTATAAATACTTTATAAAATAGACTAGATATAATAAACTATTATAGAAACCTATAAAAGCTTTATAAAAGAACTCTATAGTAACCTAATTCTATGCCTAATACCTATCTAAACTAAACTTATACTCTAATAAAAACAACCTAATGCTAGAACTACTAATGTAAAGAATTCTCTTTTTAATAAAGGGGGGAGTACTATTACAGTATCCTCTCTAGATCCTAGACATAACTATATTAGACGTATACTAAAGTATTATTAGTGCACATCTAACATAAATATAACATAACATAGACATAAACTTAAGCATAAACTGCCTTAACACTAACTAAACTTAGAATAGGCTTAATTTATACTTAAAGCGCTTAGACTTTTAAGCTAAGTATTTAACTACTAATTTCCTTCTAAACCTTCCTATTCCTCACACAACGTCTTATACTTACTATGATACCTTACGTAGTAATTGAACTAGACCTCTGTGAAGCTCTATAACCTTACTCGTGCACAATCGTGACAGCTAGCTTCTCTTAGCGCCCTAGCATATGTATATAGTTCCTACATTAAACAACCTTTAAAAGGTGTGTTTAATATTTAGTTTATTCTTTACATAAACTAAGTAGCATTTAGCTTTTTAAAGAGCTATAATACTATTTATATATCTTGCACTATATATACCTCTAACCCTGTCTACTAGGACTGTTTAACCCTGGCCTCTCTACTGCTGCACATAGGGCAAACCACAATCTAGTCACTCTATATCGTCCTCTATTAGCCTAATAGCCTGTACGTAGGACTGTACACCCTACTGGATTGGCCCCTTCTATCCGTCCTATCATCCCCTAGGAATACCATCAGACCCGAGTGCTTCCTGAAGCAAGGATTGTAACACTAAGGCTACACTAACATGTAAATAGTGGCATAAACACGCTACTTTAGCCCTTACACGCGTTAGAGACTGCAACCTTAAAAAAGTCTACTTTAATTATATACTACTTACTTTTAAGCTTTATTAATTAAATTGTAACAGTTAAAAATGTAGTTACGTTTATTTGCCTTATGTAATTGTAGGTGGAGCAAAAGTATCAATCGTACTACTTCCTGTTGGAAACGCTGATCCCTACCTCATCAGCATCCACCCAGGATGTGTGCTTCTCATCTGCTTGCCTGTTATTCTGCATTTCATTTCAGTGACTCGATGTCAGCTTTTGTTTCATCGGATTAATGGGCATCTAATCTTGCTGCTGTTCGAGACTAGCACCACGGAAGCGGTCATAATTACCCGACGCGCTTTTGATAGGCGATTAGAAACTTAAGGTGTCTTAAGGTGTCGTTGGCTTGCTATCGGCCATGACGTTAAGCAGTTTGTGCTAGCGTGGGCGAATGTTAAAAGGTTTCAGATTGAGCCCTATCAAACTTCGACCAGCAACTGGGTTGCGAGGGAGGTGGAGGAAATGGTTCTCGAGCAGAAAGGTAGCATGACGCAGATTCGGGGAACAGTTAGCGTTGAGCGACACTATACCGATGCGTAAAAGTGAATGTCATGGATCTGCAAGGCACTACAGGGCTGTTGGTGTCGGTGCTGGTGTGCCGTGGTTCAAAGCGGATGGAGGGCAAACATTAGAAGGTGTGGTCACCTAGACCATGAACCTTAGAACGAAAAGCCCTTCCGAAGTTTAAATTTTCCAGGTACATATGCAAGGGCTAGCGTGTCAGGATTCTCTTATTACTTATAGCATTCATCATCACAATCTGTCCCCAAAGCAACCCATTAGGAACTACTTCACTCAGAACTATATCGACAAATGCCACTAATCACTCAATCAAGAGACTTCATCCATCAATAGTCAACCACCAACCACCTACCAGAATTGCCACTCAACGCCGCAAACATGAAGGCCTTCCTATCGAGCCTCTCACTAGCCAAAGACATCAGTGCCATGAATAATGCTCCACCTGCAAGGAGAATTGCAATTCGAGTACGACCAAAGCCACCAAGAATCTCATTTGCTCACACATATTTTGCAAGGGCTGTCTTGATACGTGGATCAAAAAGTCCAAGAACACGGGACCGCGGTGCTTTGTCGAATTCTACAAAGTAGTGAAGGAACAGTGGCGAGAGGACTGGCATGGTTCACAACTAACAGTATCAGAACCCTGACAAAAAGAAGAACGTCGACGATAAGCTCACACACAGCGCCTTGGACTCTTACTAGGATTTTTTGTGTATAATTTACTGTAGATAGTGACAGTTCAGGGTGACATAATTAGTTTCATGTGTTAATATTGGGGCCTGTGCTCTTGTAATAAGGGAAATATGGAATTTGTGCCATCCATATAATTTCCAATTCCCTCTGCACCCATCCTGACTTTTGAAAATTCGTACCCAACATCAACCGCCAAAAACACCCACCAAAAGCATCCATCAACTATGTCCATCAACAACGTCTATCAACACCATCCACCAACAAGCTATCCATGAACCCTTCTCCAAGCCCTCCAAATACCGTCACCACCCACAAATCCTTTATTCAACATACAAAATTGGACATCAACCAAGCTTCAACCCAATCGTTCATCCCGGGCCTTCCACTCGCAGCTAGAGTATGGACATGTCCCATCTGCTGTAGCTCCTACAATATATGCCACCAACCCTGCCAAAGCCTTGGGTGCCACCACAGTTTCTGCAAGTCGTGGCTTCAAGGCTGGGTCACTGGCGAGCAGGCCAATAACCGCAGGTGTCTGGTGTGCCGGGCTGAATTACTTCCTGCAGACTCCCGGCGGAATCTAGCATCGCAATAACGGCTGGGGCGTCGCTGAAGCCCTGCTCGATACCTCCCGAGGACACATTTCGAGTCGGCTTCATTTCAGGGGATTCAAGGATATCTGGTGACATAATCGACAATGACAGGAGCCTATAGCCAAACGTAACACATCACAGAACGGCGTGAATCAGCGGATTCTCGATCATATACTGCAAGTGGCACAGCCAGCTGTGTAGAGACAGGAAATGCGGCCCCAGGAGCAAGCTCTAAGGGTACAAATGAGGCAGGGGGTTATCAAGCAACCCGGGAGTGTGAGGGAGATGCATATTTGCAAAGACGATAAGACCCTGGGAGTTCTAAGGTGTGTGCAGATCTTCGGGACGGCTTATAAGAGGAGTTTGAGAGAGGAATCTGCTTGTTACCCTTCGTGAAGGTGTTAAGGAAGGTAAATTCCTACTCTATAGCAAATCTACATTCAACTTGATATGGGATTTCTTGTACTACCTTTGCTGCCTTAGAAACTGGGGTACTTCCGGATTCTAAATATCATGGTATATTCATATCTCTTTTGGGAAATTCCTAGGGAGATATTGGTGTGCTAAACTTGCTAGAATTAGAGGTTAGGTAATATGAATGTTATTTTCCATGATCAGCAACGTCCTGTGCTGAGATACCCTTGCACGACTGCAAACGAATTTTCTGCCGTTGGTACTATTTGAGATATGTTTAATAAGATTTTCATTCTTGCATATAGTAACGTTATTATTTCCTTAGCACATTTGTGGCTTGTCGATACAGCATTCGCGCCTCCCTTGGTCCAGTAATAGTAAGGGATTCGCCTTCAGTACCTCTGGCTGAGATTAGCCAAAGAGCTTCAGTAGTGGAACCTACTGCTATAGAACCTAACTCGGACTGCAGATCGCACGCACTCATCGAGTCCGCTTCGTGACCTAATGCGATATGAAGGTGAGGGGTAGTGGTTGAATAGCACCACAATGCAGAGACAATCATGACCAATGTATGCTGCACACCAGCAGCGCGAACCGTTCGTAAGTAGCCACTCATAACTTCTCCAACTTCACATCATGCATAGAATCTTGGCTTAGGCAAAACGAACACGGTCACTCATTCTAGGAGGAAGTAGACGTTTTAATTCGATGCCCCCATTCTTTATTCTTTCCAATAGCATCTGAGAACTATGATTGCTTCTAGCGAGGCATTTCATGCTCTAGAAAACACGTTCGCATTTCCGAAAGCGCAAATCTACCAGAAGATGAGTGTTGAGCTAATTGATTCCCAAATGAGGACTCGACCATTGTCTCCATAAGCTTCACCCCTGATGCTTTCGACACATAGATTTTCCCATTATAGGCTTGGGAGCTGACCTACTGTAAAACCTATGTATGCTTCTCTGTATGAAAATTGTTTAGGCGGACTCATAACCAGCTTCATTGCTTATTTTCGACACTAGCGTGAAGAGGACTGTCACCGGCAGGAGACAATGCAGCTAAGCCTGTTCATTTTAATTCCCACAAGCAACCGTGCGTCTCTTTGCGACTAATTTCCAGTCCCGCAAAACAAGCGGAGACCTTCTTGTCAGGGTAGCAGATTTGTTCCCCGTAGAACCCCCACGTCTATTTCGCAAATTTCTCTCTTCAATATTCCTACTGGGGAGGAGGCAGGCTCTATACCGTACCTCGAATTCCTTTTATTCTAGCAGCAAAGCAAACTCCACAGTGGAGGGTTCATGCTACTTTATTCTGAAACCGAAACCGAAACCGAAACCGCAGCCCGCCATATGGTTAGAACTTTCGCGTATCCATTGCAAGGCGGACTACCACCATCAAGCCAGACTTTTGTTCTCACAGGAGGACACAACCATAGCATGATTGCCCGCGTGCTTTGTTCTCACAAGCGGAGCCCAGCCACGTTTTCGCTCTCACATAGTTTTAATCCTCCAGGCGGACTACAGCCATGAAGTTCTCAAGAATTTTAATTGCACCAGCATCTATTTTATGGGCAATATATCTTTTCGGCCACGGAATGCGCGGCAGGACCTGGTGTGTTCGACCAAGTATTCTTAGAGGAGCGGCGAAAGAAACATGGCATGAGGCGAAATTTCTCCTTTCTCAATTTTATAGACGCAGAGTATGAGCGCTTCCTTTTTTCTTTTTAGTGTCGGGTGCGTAGAACTATATTAGAGGATGGTTTGGTTATGGGATGCTTGATCATTTTTTTTTAGAGCAACAGCGATTGAAACCGGACATGGAGGTTAGAATAGAAATATTTTCGGCAGATGCAGAAGGTGGGTCTTGTGTCTCTTAGTTTTCAGTAGATTAAAGGGCACGAGAGGAGCGAGACATCAATTTAAACGAAAACATTTTTTTTTAGTTTCAGACGCAGAGCGCTTAGAGTAGGCCAATTATTTTGATTTCTTAGGTGTGGAGTACACTATATAGTGTCAGTGGCAATATTTCCTAAGATCTGGGGTGATATGTAGCTGTGGGGATAACGTAGGCTTGAAGGGGGTGTATCTACCTGTGATATGGGAAAGTGAGGGTATCACGTGATTTACCACAAATGTGAAGCAAAGGCGATGGATAAGGAGAGGCTTTGGGACAAGCAGGGAATTCGTGACATGATATGGGAAATGGTGAAGGGAACAAATCGGAGCACCTACCGGAAGCGAGAGCGAGCGTTACGAAAATAAAAAGAAAGACACCCACAGAGAGTGAATGAGCTGCAAGCATATATTCTCCGCAACGACCTACATGTTAGCCCTGTAACGACACCCAACCAAACTATAAAAGCACCACAGCCAGTCATTCCTAAGCCTCACTCTTCCGCTTCACTCTGTAAAGGTGCACCTGACCAAATGCCGAGCTCAGCAATCCAGCCACCAACCCTACCCAGACCCCCAAATACTTCCCAAAAGCCAGGATGTGGAGGCTGAGTCCAGGCCAAACATCCCACCCACTACCACGTTCCCGGGACTTCAGAAACCGGGCGTGAGCGTCCGTCAAGGAAAGGAACGAAGCTGACCAGCCAAGAATGAGGCCGCAACTGCGTTACCCTTGCTCTGACATACCCTGTCAGGTTACTGCCTCCGGCACGGTCCGAGCATAGTCACCTTACCCACATGTGGTGAGGGGGAGAGTCGGAGGTGGAGAAGGATAAGGATGAGGTGGATGCGGATGCGGATGACGTTGGATGGGAAGTGAGGAAACAGAGATAGCCGGATTAGGAAGGTGGGCGCTACTTATAGGCAGGCCGGGGTATGTACTAGGGTGTAGTACGAGTAGGAATATACATGAGGCGTTTAGAGCAGGAGAATGGTGAGCTTGGGAGAGAATGTTGCATTTGTGGATGGTATCGTAGCTCAGAATGTTGAGGGGAGGAAGTGGTCAAAGCTTCAAGATGTTTCGAAATGAATGATTGGTTGCTGGCCAAGGCTGTTGAAACAGCGTGTGGGAGAAGAAGGCATGTTGCATTGCTGGTAAATGGCATGCTGAGCGTTAAGGTAGCGTTAGATAGCCGCTACGAAAGCTCAGAAATAAAGGAAGGAGCTTCGCACTACTCGATCTCGGCTTCAATTGCTTGAAGTTGATACCAACCGTTCTTGCAGTATACGAAGAATATCTTGTGGCTGTTTCGGTAAATGAAAAAAACAAAACAGAACATGTTTCCTTCACAAGACACCCCTAACCTCGCATCACACATCACAAGGGGTTCGCAAGCTCCCCGGTATCACCCCTTGTCGTCCCGAATTAGCCAACCCAAAGGATGTCCGCGTAAAATCGGGAAGGACGCCCTGCCCTAGCGCCTCCCCGAGGCTGAGACTGGCTGACTCGGATGGATTCCGACCCATCTTGCCCGCTGTCAATCCTGTATCGGCAAGCCCGAACATGTGATGACACATGCAGGTGCGCGGAGGAAGGAGTCAAAACATCTGCAGGGGCCTGATGGCCTACCACAAAGGAAGAATGGGGAAAGCCGAACGGAATGCTGCCACAGATTCACGTTGTCCTCAGGGGTTGATTTGGTGGGTGGAATGTGAGTGGCGGCTATGCCGCACAATGGAGGACAGACGGGTGCGTGTGATCCATTGCCCTGGGTCTGAGGTCGCATGCCAGGGTTTCGGAAGGATTATTGGTAGTTGTAGTGACGCAGAACTCTGCGTTTTCCTGGGGGTGCGACGAGAAGCAATTGTTTTCTTCATTCAATCCCGACCCAATTATCCTCGGAGTAGCTCTGGAAGCATCTCTATTCTTGGAGGGCTCCGGAAGTGGAGAAGCGGAGATATGTTTGATGAGAACTTGATCCAGTCAACTGGTGCTGATGCAACACTCCCTTTGCTTCGCCGCAAAAACAAAGTATCTAGTAGTGCACCATCCCTTGCTGGCCTTAACCACCTCAAGAAGGATTGACAGTGTCGCAGAAGGAGATCCCGAGGATGTGGTTCCTGCTCGAATTAATAAAAGAAACACGCACAGTCAACACTATTCTTCGTGCACAGCCGATGTTTTCTGTTCGCCATGAAATGTGTCGGTGCAATTTCGCGTCTAACAAATGAGGGGTTCAAGGCTGCTACGGAATTACTTCTTCTAGGGTTCATGGCGCGCTTCTGGCCCCCTCGCATGAAAGTCGTGAGGGTCGCGATCGAGGGGCCAGCCGTATTGTGCCTTCAAGATGGCAATTTCAGCGGGCTGAGGGAGCCAGGGTGTCATCTTTATCCTCGGTCAGCATCTCACCTGCTCCGTAGTGTTTTGCCTTCGGAATCATTCCGCAAAAGTAGTTGGTATCGCTTGACTCGTGTTCGTGGGGTGCGTCGACGAAAAGTAACGGCGGCGACGGCGACATCGGGAGACCAGCTGAGCTGAATGAGCGAAAACGCAGGTTTTGACACATCCAAAACCGCTGGACAACTGAAAATGTTCCGACGCGGGCTCCCAATCACGCGGAGACGACCGGCTGTGGACTTTCGTCTCCCCTGTCCAGGATCCGAACTGTATTGGCGGAAGCTGACGTCGACCGTGAATTGGCCCGGCGGCGGCGTCGTCATGGCGTCTGCTGTGGAGCGCAGGTCCGGCTAAAGGGAGAAAGAAAGCCGCTAGTCAATGGGGCCATGGCGAGAACCGCGTTCTTGATGACTGGCTGTGTTCGTATTCTAGGAGCATGTGCTGGGAGGGCATGAACAACTGTGCGAAGAGATGCCGCACAGCATTCTCCTTGCCCAGGACATAGAGAAAAGCATGGTTAGTCACAGGCACAGCGAAGAGATGTTTCGACGTGTCCTGCAAGAGGAAATGTTGGCATCGTGTAAGATGCCCCGATACGTGTATGCGCGCATCATGGATGGAGATTGTCCTTCCCTTTCCCTTTCCCTGATGCCATCATAACACGATCGATATGATCGACGTCCCAATCCAGTCACGTACATGAACCCCTAATCAATCGCACAACCCGCACCTGCGAGGTGACGAGATTGCATCGCCGTGATGTGATTGAATATTCATCTAGGGTGCTGAGATCAGGGCGAGTAGCGCATGTCGATCCCCATCCCACTGCTCCGGTTGCTGGGTTTGCTTCTTCGCCGCCAACTTTCAAGCCACACATCCCCCGAGACGTGGAGTTTGACTCGTTCATGCGCCGTGATTCGACGCCTCGTGTCCACAGAAAAGGAATCTGGCATCAGTTTGATATCGTGACGAGTTTTGCAGATGTGAGGCTGTCTGCAAGCGTGCTGCGGGGCCTTGTGAGCTAGAGAGTGGTGGTGTCGTGGTGGTGTGCGCAGACGCCCAGCGCTGGCCTAGCTTTCTACACACTCTCAACGTCACACAACTCAGGACTGCCACTACAAACGGTGTACCAACGCAACACGATGGTGTCTTCGAAGAGTGAAGTGTGCGAAGCTTTTCGATGCTACTAACTAATCTCATACACTGTTTTTCAGTTGCTGCCCGACAGCGCCCAACCACGGCTGCTCCTGGGTATCTTTCACCGGCCTCATCGTCCATTCCTGCCAGCTCTAGCTCGAGGCCTAATACCGTAAGGCTTAAGTAGGGAGCCTAAAGGCGGCCAGTGTCGGATTCTCGCCGCCCAACTTTCATACTAAACACCTGCTCTTTTGGTCTGAGATGACAGTCTCCTGCAAGGATGGACAAACCACCAAGAGCGGAGCCAATAACTGGAGTCGGCGAGGCTGTGAAAGGCTGCTTGCTCCCCACACCCATCCATGCTAGTCAGCGCCTCCTTTGACCAGCCTCCTAAACTCCGTCATCTGCATTTATCATTACATATTCCCAGCGCTTGAATGATCGACCGATGCCCGCACCGGTCAATTCGGTCCAGTATTACAATGGGCCCCATGGAATCTCGACCGCAAAAGCAAAATAGAACCCAATCTCCCAAAAATGCCATGGAAAGACCCTTTCTTGCCATACGCGCCAAACCCAAGCCCCTTGTATTGGGCGACGCCCAACCATTCCAAATGTTCCGTCATCATTGTACAGCACCGGAAGGCCCCCAAACACCAAAATGCCCGGTGGCTTTTTGTTCCCAGCCTTCCATCTATTTCGCAGCAGGATCCGGAATGTGGAGCTAATGGCCGAGAGAAAAGGAAAGAAAATGTGCCGTGTGGTTGGAGCGGAGCCGCGTAGAATGCAAGAATAGACAATCCAAGGAAATGGAGGTGTATGCAGTGTATCATCCGGATTCGTTCCCCGTGCCGTAGCTGACGCCCATGGATGCCCGTCACGGGGAAAGTAAAACAAAAAAGTCCACTAAAAATGCAACATGCTCAAAAAAGGTACAAGGACAAGAACAGGACGATGCGGAAATAGCTATCAGCAGAGTGACGTCCTCGTTATTCGAGAAGTAGCAATTAGGTGGGGGTGTAGTCGTGCACGAGATCTTATGCGAAAACCCTTCGGCTGCGACCCATGCGCTATTAGGTTGGCGTTGATGAGGCGCCACCATCAAAAGCCACACGGGGATCAACATGACCCGGTTCGGCAAGCAGGTACTATCGTCTTCGGGATGTTGAGGCGGATGGTGCGCGCTGCGAGGCAGATGCTGAGCCGATGCCTGCCTCTTCCCACAAGTCCAAACAGGCCGTCAACACTGAGGGAGGTCAGAGGAAGGAACGTTGGAGGAGCTGGCGGATTCGGAAGTGAAAGTCGGTGTACTCACTGGCGATGATTTCTTCTTCCCACACACCCATCTGATAGTCGACCAGGCCGTGCTTCTCCATATTGTCGCAGTTTTTGACGAGCTGCGTGCCCATCTTCTCGAGGTAGTCCGGGTCGATCAAGGACTGGGGCGGCTGCGGGCGCTGGCCCGTAGTGATCATGTCCTGCATCACCTCCTTCTGACGCTGCAGCGTAGTAAGCCAGCAGTTGTTGAACTCCTCCCACAACTTCAAGCGCTGTGTGTACTGGTTCTCCTCGTCGCGTACTAGGCCTATAGTCAATCTCAGCTGCTCGTTCTGTTCTCGCCGGGGCGCTAGCTTACCGAGGGTCTCTGCCCAGTGCAGCAGCCAGTCGGACAGCCTGAACAGCTGCGCGGCGGCCTCACTCAGGCGGCCGTCGCGCGTGTACTCAAAGGTTTTCTTGAGCTCCGTCTGGTAGTTGTTGTAGAAGTCGTCGTACTCGTTGCCGCCCTGGTCGCCGTAGCTGGCGGGCGCGGGCTGGGCGTAGGGCCCTTGGGAAGGCGCCTGGGTCGGGTCGCTCATGCCGGGCTGAGTGTAGGAAGGCGCGAGTGGCTCTCGTCCGACCGGGCTTTGTTGTGTTGTATAGCCCATTGAGGGGTACTGGGAAGGGACATTCTGCGGCGCCAGCGCAGAGGCAGGCGCGCTCGTCGGGCCCCCCTCGCCGGGCACACCGTAATATTGCTGTGGAACAGGCTGGACCCCGAATCCGGTGCTGAGCACCTCTATAGCCGTGTTCTGCCGGGGCTGGTACTGTTGTACAGACTCATACGGCGATTGCGGTGTTGCAGACGCCTGCTGGCCCGGCACATTGTACATGACGTTGCCGCCATACTGCGAGTACTGCTGCTGTGACGCCCGCTGCTGCTCCGGTGTATACTCCTGCGTACCGTACGGCACCCCCGAGGGCTGGATCGAGGAGCCCACAAACTGCGAACCTTCGGCGTAAGCATAACCGTAACTCTGCGTCGCGCGACTCCCAGACGGCGGGGCGGTCGTCGGCGCCTGCGCAGCCAAGGGCGTCTGTCTGAAGCGGTCGGATGCGCTTACCACGGGATACTGGGCTGACGTCTGGAGAAGCCCTTGCTGAGTTGCGTAACCTGAGGGATTGGTCCGTTGTCGACGGTCATTGTTTTCCATCCCAGTCGACCGGCCTTTGAGCTGGAGGTTGAAGGGCGGATCGAGGGCCCGATACGCCAAGGGCGAGACTGGTGGAGTCGCGTAGTTGGCCAGCTTGTTGGCTTGCCTGAGGATTTTTGAAAATTCTAGAGAGGGAGCGGGATGTGATGTGGCGGGCGGAGGGGTAGACTGGAGAGACGACGTTGCCGTGGAGGAAGCAAGTCAAAAACACAGTCTGCTCGACGGACCGGTGTCAAAGGTGCGAATGAGAAAAAGGTAGACGGATGTAGTGAGGGACTGACGTTGAATTTCTGTGGATGAGAATGCTCGAAGCTCCAGACGAGTGGATATAAAAACCGTCCTGGCGCATCACACAGCACAGCCAATTGAGCCCAAAGCGCGAGCACTGAGCAAAAGAAGCCGGCGCAGAAGACCCACTGACACGCGTGAGCGCCCGCCAGGATATCCTCGGCCGGCTGCGACGAGGATGTTTAGCAGCAGAGGCTGGCAAAACCCGGAATCCGGATACCCGATATGGAAATGTTGGAGAAAACGTCGGCGAGAGGGTGGGCCAGCTAGACACGTAGCCACTTACTGACAGACCACCAGCCGTCAAAAGAAAAGCGTGGAGTAATGCTTGGAAGGCGTCTGGTGGTGGTGAGGCCAGGCACGGAGGGGGTCTTGTAGGGAGGTCCTTGCAACGCACCTCAAGATGCCCAAACAAGGTCGGGCGAAGAGGGCCGGTCTAATGGATCGTCTCAGCCAGCTCAGCGCTTCTGTTTCGGTGCGTTTACAGCCCTAATGGGTGTTGGCGTTCGTCACGATTGACGTCCTGTACAGCGCACAGGACGATATGGAGCAGGTGCAGAAAAGAAGTGAAGCGTTCGGTCCGAGTCAAGACAAAAGTGCGACAGTCCCTATATTTGTAAGCTCTGGCACGGCGCCCACTGCCCTGAGAAAGCCCTCAATGAAAAGAGTCGAGAGCGCGAAGCCCCATTGGGTGGCGGCCAGGGCACAGTTAAGGGCAGACAGCGTCACGGGCGGCGACGCGCAGGCTAGAGGGGGGAAGGGGACTGCGCTCGAGCAAGCCGAGGGATGGCGTCCGATTCGGAACAGGTCCTAGGGCTAGAGTGGGGGGAAGTAGTGGGAGCGGGAGCAGTAACTTGTGCAAGTGGTGACGAGATGTGATGAGGATGGGAAGAGGCAGACGCAGCCACATCGGCAAATGGCAGAGCATAGGCAGAGGAGAAGCAAAAGGAACTCGCCGGGATGTCACGGCGAGCAGAGGAGTCAAATAACAGGGACAGTCGGGGAGAACGAGCCAGGCCGTGTTGGGAGGGGAGGGTACCTGAGGGGTGGATGTGGCTTTGCGCCGGGGTGGGTGAGGATGGAGGAGACGAGGCGTGAGAGGCTTCTGGATGAGGAGTGATGACAGCAGTGTACCTTGCAAGTAAGTCTCCGATATCCGAATGATATGGTGGGGCTTGAGCTAGCATGAGGCCATGTCTAGCCACGGTTACAGATCGCCCTCGATCGACGGCGGCTGGGCAGGCATCTGCAGGGCTTCAAGGCGTGGACCTCTGGTATGCTCTGTCAGTCAGCACATCTCGCGCGGCGCGTCAGCGGACAATTGACCTCAGACAGCATCAGTGGACCACCCACTAGCAGGATGCAGGAAACAAGAGGTAGCGTTGCCGCTCTTCCCATCAGTCGACCGGGCCGGCCTGGGTTTCAATGGGTGAGATGCGGCAGAGAACCACCACAGCCTGCCCGGACCCGCTCCGCTCCATCCAGACTGCCCGCCCTGCTGCCATGCGACAGCTCTTCCAGCTGGGCTTGGCGGCCGAGGGTGGTGATGCGCCCGCGACGCCACAGGACGACATCATCCCGCAAGCTGAGCATGCACCTGGTGCAAGAGACTCCGCTTTGGCCTGTTCGTTGGCCGCCTGGCGACAGAGCATGCCACCAACAAAGGCAGTCTTCCAGAGGGCGCGCCGGGAGGCAGCGCAGCGTCGCAGAGGTGTTTCATGCACGAGAGGAGGGCGCTGATTCGTTTCTGCGATTGTCAAATCATCAGACGTCTATCCAAACGGTTGCAGCGTCATCTCTGGCATCCATGAAGCCATGGTCGTGAATGTCGCTGGGCGAGGACGGCAGGGAGGCGGCGAGGGCTGACCGTGCGATACGGGACTCAGGGGGCAATTTCGGCATCGACTCGACCAAGCTCTCGCTCATCTCTCGCTCATCTCTTTGATGCGGGAGCCCGCAGGGATTCACAGCGCGTGGCCGATCCTCCACTCCACTTGCCACAGCCTCCCTCGCCGATCCTGAAGGGTGCCGAAGCAGGGCGCCGCTCCCTACTGGCTGCCGCGCTGCTGTTTCGCGTTTGCCCGCCGGCGAGCGTCAGACGCGACTTCAGAAGCTCATTTCTACGTACAGTCCAGACGTGCTTTTGCTGCAGAGGCAAACAAAGGGAGATGCTGGCCGAAGGGCGTCCTGCAGCTCTGAGTGGAGCCCGCACAGTCGACCATTAAGTTCAATGCTGGGCCTTCCTTCCGATGCAAGTCTTGCGCCGACCGTGCTTCATCAATACAGTACCCTCCTTCCAAGGAGTTTCCCGTCCAGCTTCTAGTCAAGAGGTGGTCTCGAAGTGTGCAGTCTTTGCTTCCGCGCCAGTCCCATGTAGTTGCGTTATTTCCGACCGTTGTCGCAACCATGAATATCACAGTTCACGTGGCATCTCGCAGGGGTCTCCTTTACAGTTGCGACTCCACCCGACCATTTCTCCGACCTCAAACACACACGCATGTCGCGCGCAGACAATGGGCAACCGTCAAATGAAACAGAGCCGTCGATAAATTTAGCGGTTGCTCCAGCCCACCAGCCCACCATCTCCACTTACGATCAGACACAGACAGCCATCAAGGGCGTCATCCGATCAACGGCGATCGCTAGCGTAGTCCTTTCTTCGCACATCATCCGATGTGACGCGAAATTGCAGGCCCACGTCGAACACATTTTCTTTCGAGAAGGTTTCATTTCGTTCGAGAAGCTCTCCTGTGGTGCCCTTGCCCTGCCTTGCCTTGCGTTTGACGGGAAATTGCAGCAACGCCTCCCGCTGACACCCGTCATCAGAAAACGCATGTGTCTTGTGCCACCGACTCGCAATATCAAAATCTTAACCAGACGCGGCACGCGATGGCTTCAGGCCTTCAGCAAACGAAAAAGGCTTGACTTGCTGGTCGCTCAAAATTGAGTTCACACCAGCGGTCGATCAGGAACGGCCGTTATTCTGCTTCTGGCCAAAATGCAACGTTCGAGCATATCCCCTGGTTTTAGCCGTTGAGGCTGCGCGAGTTGCGCTGCCGCTTAATTGCCGGCCTCGATCTGGAGGCGATACGCGTGCGAAGCGAATGATTGCCAAAGTGCGGAGGCGTAGGGCGAGGAAGGTGATTGGTGTGCATTTTGCTGCATTTCTGCCATTGGGCAGGGCCCTTTCGAACTTGTCTGCCCGGCCTTGTTGCTCGATTAACATATTAGCGATGTAATGGGTGTATGTCGTACGGGTAAACCGTCGACGTCTGCTCGCTCTACACGCCGCACACGACACGACCTCAGACTTGGCTGCCCGCGATATTAGCCACCCTGCTGACTGGCTGGAGCGCTCCTGCGGGCGTCACATTTGCCCATGCACGTCTCGCGGCTTAGGCAAAGTCATCTTGCGTGCCGCGCAGGACTAACTTACGAATCCGAAAGCTTCTGCGCGCCGGTCAGGGAGAAGTTACGAAAGTTTCGTCTGAAAAAGGAACACGGTCCAGAGAAATGATCTGATTATGACGTTTTGGGCCATCGACACCAGGATTGCAGTTACGATGCCTAGCGCGATGCGCAATCTTAGACCTCTCAGCGCTCAACACCAGTGCAGGAAAAAGGAGAAAGTTCTGAACACCCAGGATTGCGATGGCTGGCGTAACGTTCGTGCAGGCGCAGACCAGCAGCAGAACCTTGACGAACAGACAGCGAAGTGTTCGACCAGCAGCCGTCCGTCAGGCAACAAGATATTTCACGCAATTGCATGTGCTGCTAGGAACATGACTCCAGACTCCAGATTTCTCCTGCCCTGTCACGCCCAATCGAAATATCGGCACGGAACGAACGCATGAAAGGGCTGACAGGGATCGGAAGAACAAGATGCCGTGACTGGTTCTTTCTCTTTCTGCAGCGCACGTGCAGCGGCCCGGTCTGTCGGGTCGCCTGCTCAACTTGATACAAACTGCACTTCTCAAACCGAGGCATGATTTGCAAAGCCGACCAAGATTTCTTCTTTTGCGGCAGGAGTGCTGTGCGTCAGTGTTCCCCGGATGCCGCTAAAGATCACGAGCGCAGCACCTCCAAAGAGAGAAGGTTGTTCGTCAGAGGGGCCTACATTTGAAACAAGTACCGGAATTCTGGTCAAGACAGTTTCAACTACCGACTCCAGGATTGTCGTATTCGGAGGCAAGGCATGACAGCGAAACAAGCGGTAATAGGGCAGTGGACAGTGGGCAGAGGTTGCATTATTGTACCGCAGCTTTAACATTCGTCTTTACGTGCAGCTCGACGAAGGATCAAACATGCCTATCTACTAATGATGGAAATGCTGGGCAGAAGGATGCAGTCGATACCCGCATGCTCGCTACAGTGTGCGCTAAATCATGTCGGGCTTAATGTCTGTCGCCTGGAATAGAGGGATCACGGAGCCGAAGTTTCGACAGTGCGGCTCCGACTCCGGCTAGTATAGATAAAGAGGTGGCTGGAGATCAGATGTACAAGAGCAATCTACATGGAGGCGAAACAACACATCAACGCTTGACCCAAGTGGGCATTTTGCGCGCCTTGACGTGGCCAGGCTTTTTCCTTTCCACTTTCCGCGGATCGCGGGTAATGCAGCCAGCTGCACCATGAAGCAGTTAGCGCTCGGAGTCTTCGGGTGGGTGAGTGGATAGGTGGTGGATGACTAGTGGAAGAGAAAGCAAGGGAGTGGTGAGGCGTTCCCTACATCAGATGAACTGCGCGTTCGCATGAACAAAAGCGGCGCCACGCCGAGGGCGAGCGGAATAGTTGAAGAAGAAAGGAAGGAAGGGGGGATACGGGTGATGATAGGAATAGGAGACCGGTAACTCCGACTCACCTCGTCGCAACGCCGGTTTCAATGCCGGTTCGTGCACCAGTAGTGCTTTTGCAACCGCCAACGTCAAAGCCTCTGCCTGTCCGGTGACGCCGCCGCCAGCTGTCAGACCCCAGACGTTGTATTTGTCGAGCCGTTGAGTAGCCTTTAGTGCCCAGACGACGCTCTCTCGGTCATGTAGTCGCCCAAAGAATTGTGTGAGGGATTTTCCATTGATCAAGACTTCGCCTTCACCTTCTACTAGCCAGGCTACTGCTGACGACGTCTTCCTCCGCCCGACACCTTTGGCGCGGCCTAGTTCATCAATGATGCCGGGTTTGGGCTTGATGTCGCCAGGCTGGCTGGCCTTTTTATACCGCTGCATTGCCTGGAGGACCTCCTCGGGCATCAAGGACGGGTGAATACAGTTCAGTCGGCGAAGAATATGAATCATCTTGTGGAAGCGTTGGGTTTTGACTGGCTCGTTGGTCATGATGCGGTACTGGTCGATTGTCTTCCACGCGACCTTTGGGGCCTCTGAAGGCGGGACGACAGGGAGGGTAGCAACTTTTCGGAGCAAGGCCTGAAGGCTGATAAAATCATCGGTGAAGGTGGGCTTCGCGCTGAAGTAGGATGGTGATGCGGGCACCACGCGCAGTGTCCGGAGCAGCTGCTTGCCTCCTCCCTTTCCACCTTTCGCATCTTGCTGCTCGAAGTTAATTGGAGGTGCAGCTGTGAATTTCTCGGGTGTATCGTTGACGAGCTCAGCATGGCGTGGGGCGCTGGTTGATATGCATCTTATCGTCGATAGTTGGCAGCGCCGTCGCGGATATCGAATGGTCCGATCGCATTGGGGGCGTGGTAGGTTTCCAAGGGACTCGATAGCCCGTCGGAGGCTTTGTGAGAGCTCTCCCCGCACCATTGGGGATGAAGTGGAGCTGGGAGTGTCCAGATTATGGAGCTAGAATAGGTGGTTGATAGCTTTCACGGGTGTTGTGCCATCTATCAAGAGGCTGGGCAAATTTTGGGATGAGGATGCGCCGACTCTGCCGAGCTAAGCCATTTGAGGCCTAGCATCAGCCGTGAAAAAGATTGCACACAAAATCCGGAGGCAGCACCCCCGCCAGCCTCAACAACACCTTCTCCCCACGTCCCCCCCTCCCCCCTTCCCCGCTTCTGTGCACTAGAATTCCTGGCTGTGCTGCTCAATAGAGACACTCCATCTCCATTATGTCCTTCGGAAAGCTCTACTCGTACACCGTAAGTCCCTTCAATCACCCTCCTCTGAAACCTTAATGAGTCTTAACACCACTTCTCCAGGGCAATCCACGCACCACTTCCCTTGTGGCCGTTGCGAAGGCGAACGGGCTCCGTGTCGAATTTGTTCCCACTGAGCCGGCCAAGGGTGTCTCCGCTGAGTACCTGAAGCTCAACAAGCTCGGCAAAGTCCCTACCTTTGAGGGCGCTGACGGCTATGTACTCACCGAGTGCATTGCCATTGCGGTGTACCGTAAGTACAATGCATTTATTTGCACTCGCTTGCAGGATGAGATGTATTATCATTACAGTTATCCCTGTCTGAACACCAAGTGTTGAGAATCTTAAATTCTGATCTCAAGCAAATTCCCCTCCAATTTGTTCGGTGCTCTTCATGACTCAAACTGACATTTTTAGTGACCTCCCAGAATGAGAAGACTACACTCCTAGGCAAGACCAAGCAAGACTACGCCTCCATTTTGCGATGGATGTCGTATGCCAACAGCGAGATTCTCCCCGCACTTGGTGGCTGGTTCCGCCCCATCATTGGCCGCGACCCCTACAACAAGAAGAACGTCGACGAGTCCCAAAAGGCTGCCCTCAAAGCTGTCAAGACTCTTGAGGAGCATCTCCTCGTCCACACATATCTCGTTGGCGAGCGTCTGACTCTCGCTGACCTTTTCGCTGTCGGCATCATGGCTCGTGGATTCCAATATTTCTTCGACAAGGCATGGCGCGCCGAGAACCCCAACGTCACTCGTTGGTACGAGACTGTCTACAACCAGCCAATCTACTCTGCTGTTGTTGACAAGCTCGAGTTCATTGACGAGGCCATCAAGAACGTCCCCCCAAAGAAGGAACCTGCACCAAAGAAGGAGCAGCCCAAGAAGGAGGCCGCACCCAAGGCCGCGCCAAAGAAGGAGGTGGCCGCTGAAGAGGAGGAGGAGGAGGAGAAGCCTGCACCAAAACCTAAGCACCCACTTGACCTGCTACCCCGTGCTACATTCGTCCTGGACGACTGGAAGCGGAAGTACTCCAACGAGGAGACTCGTGAAGTTGCCCTTCCGTGGTTCTGGGAGAACATGAACTTTGAGGAGTACTCCATTTGGAGGGTTGACTATAAGTATAACGACGAGTTGACCATGACCTTCATGACATCCAACTTGATTGGTAAGCAAGCATCTCCTCCATATGCATGTATCTAACTAAATTCCACACAGGCGGCTTCTTCGCACGTTTAGAGGGCAGTCGCAAGTTCATTTTCGGCGCTGCATCCGTCTATGGCGTCACGAACGACTCGGTCGTGCAAGGTGCGTTCCTGATCCGTGGCCAGGACGCTCTGCCCGCTTTCGAAGTCGCTCCCGACTATGAGAGCTACGAGTTCACCAAGCTTGACCCCACCAAGGCGGAAGACAAGGAGTTTGTCAACGACCAGTGGGCGTGGGACAAATCCATCACTGTCAAGGGCAAGGAGTACCCGTGGGCTGATGGTAAGGTCTTCAAGTAAACGCTTTCTGTAACCAGACGGCGTGCTTAGAGGCAATTGAAAATTCATGAGTGTTATGATGATGGTACATGGTAACGAGGGATGATGGATGGCTAGATGGATGAATGAATAGGATTCAGGCAACTAGCTCTTGGTACATTAACACGAATATACCACCAGTCAGACCGACCCGTCGGACACACAGAGGCTGTCTGAGAAGTTTTGCATACCCAGCGTCTCCACATATGATATGATATGTTAGCTCGTTTAGCTCATGGGTAGTGTGGCATGGGATGCATACTCTACATCCGCATGGCACGCGACGGCAAGCATAGCTTCCTAACCCCGCCTCTGATCCTCCTCCGGTCCAGGTTGGGCCTTGAGGATTATGCCTGAGTCGCCTAGCTCCCTGACTTCCAAATAGTTGGACTCGGATTGGAAATCCTCAGATCTATGTGCGAAGCCGCTTGGTGGCCTGAAAGATGCGATGGAGTTCGGATATTGGAACCAGGCGCCGGGAATCCGCCGCATTGCTGTTGGATGCCTTTGGTGGATGGACGGGTGGGGCACGCCTTGTGACAGAAATGACATGTGAGGATGACAGCGGCCCAGGCGGATGTCGGAATCCTAACCTCAGCCTGACGGAGAGGCTCTGGGTGTGTGTTTCTATCTCTGCAAACGTTGAATGGCCATTGTCTTGAGCGCAGAGGTCACATTGTTGGCGTGTTTGAGGTGGACTCAGATCTGGGTTCGTCTCGTGTTCTCCTGCCTTCTTGAACGCGGGGCTCTGGAGATGTGGCGCCAGCCAAGCAGTCTGATTGGCTAATACACACCCCGGCCTTGTCCTTGACCTCGAGCTCGAGTCTGTTCTGGCTTTCGACAACACCGCTGAACGTGCGACCGACGTTGGACCTTTTTCTTTCGCGCGCATTCTGCACAACGGAAGGCTGATCCGTAAGACATAGATTTCACGCGAGAAGTTGCCGGCTCTGGCCCTGGAGCGGCCCTGGAGCGGCGCAAACCAGCAAACAATAGCGCAACTATCTCCATCGCATTCCGCTACTTCCAGCTCCAGTCAGGGCAGAGACCTACATATTCACGACAATCAGTTTTACGCAAAGACGAGAAGCACTTGTAGATATATTTGCGCTTCTGCGACGACGATTCTATCCTGCATAAGGTCAGGGTATCACGAGAGTGCCCGAGTCAACACGTGGCTGAGACAGGGCTCGAAAACCCAGCTTCTACGAAAACCCGCAAGTCTCTAGAAGAATAGGAGAGTGAAGGGTGGGAAAGAGGCTGAGTCAGGTCGGGTTATCCATCGCGACTGCCGAGGAGGAGAAGGCTTGGCTGTATTGGAGAGATTTAGGAGAAGGCAGGGAAGAATGAAAGAGAGTGAGCGACTGAGGGAAGTGAGGAGGTCGACGGGACATGCGGGAGAGCCTTCTATTCAGGTTATTTGCTTGGTATGTGGGCGTTTTCTTTTCATTCATGAGTTAGATGGGATGTGGAGTTGGTGAACACTGCTTTTCCGTCTTTTCACATAGGCACAAGTTCTTGTCAACGTTTTCATCTTGACAAACGACAATATGCGCCTAGCCCATCTTTCAAGCGAACCGCAAACTAACTGATCCAGGGCTCCGGTGGTGGTCCAAGTGAAGACAACGTCACCGGCTTTCTCGTCCGTTCTACGGCTTCAAAATGGGCCAAAAACTCAGTTCTCGCTGTCGATGCAGGATCACATCTAGCAGCCATAACACGCATTCTAGAGCGAGAATTCCCGCTTGTATCCTCCATTACACCAGCCCCCGCCACGCAGAACTGTAACGACAACGACCAGGATCAAGAATCACCGTCTCCCGGACACGTGAATGTCAATGTCTCGACGCCAGACTCAGACTCCTGTGCGGAATCACCAACAGGCTCAGAACAGGTAATAGAGCCAATCCTCACTACTCTAGAGAACGGCCCCTTTGCCGGACTCCCGTTCCCGCATAGGAGCGCTAGGGCGAATGCGCTGCATGTCGTCCGAGAGCATGTGTCCACATATCTTATCACACATCCACATCTAGATCACGTGTCTGGTTTTGTGATCAACACGGCTGCCTTTCACAACACATCACGTCCGAAACGCCTCGCTGCGCTTCCGTTCACAGTGAATGCGATAAAAACACATCTCTTTAACAACGTCGTGTGGCCAAATCTTACAGACGAAGATGGAGGTGTAGGACTCGTGACCTTCCAGCGGCTCGCCGAGGGTGGCAATATCGCGCTCGGCGAGGGCAGCGGCAGAGGATACATCGAGATTTGCGACGGCCTGGGCGTGAAAGGATTCAAAGTCAGCCATGGTCATTGCATGCGCGGCCCGGGACACGTTCATCGGGGGAGCAATGCGAATATTCCTGAGACACCAGGGATTCAGCATGGAGCCAATCACCCTCATACGCACCCGGCGATGATTCCAGCTGGGGCAACAGAAGGCCAAGATGGCAGGAGCCTAAGTTTCTCACTACCAAGTCAACCCGGTACACCGCTATATACAGGAAACGTACCACCAGAGACAGGGAGAACGGCGAGCGTCTCACAAACGACCGGCGGATTTGTCGAACCGTGCGTTATAGACTCCACCGCGTACTTCATCCGCACCGAATCCACCCCCCATACGCCTGCCCGCGAAGTCCTAATTTTCGGCGACGTCGAACCGGATTCGGTGTCGTTGTCGCCACGAACCGCGCATGTCTGGGCGGAGGCCGCGCCGAAGATTGCGGCGGGGCTGTTGACGGGGATTTTCATCGAATGTAGCTACAACAACAGCCAAGGTGACGCTGTTCTCTACGGCCATTTGGCGCCAAGACATTTAATCCAGGAGCTGCAGAACTTGGCGGAGATGGTTAAGGATGCTAGACGAGAGCACGAGAAAGAAAAGGAGGAGTTAAGGAAGGGCAGGAAGAGGAAGCGGGCCAGCAACGGTCTTCTCAGCTTGGATGGGCTTGTTGGAACGGAAGAGCGGGGAACGAGGAAGGCGAGCAAAACCCGCAATTTAGGAGGCATGGGGAAAGACGGGCTTGCGATGGAAGATGAAGCTATGACGGATTACGCGGCTTCTCCAACACCTAGCCGCCATACAGGAACGCAGACACCGACGAATCCGGTGACGGGTAGTTATGCGCATCCATCGGCGCCCTCAGCCCTCAATCTTGTGAACGTGAGTGCGGAACATCCAAAGGCGGTGCTGTCGGCTGCGTTCGATATGCCATTGAAAGGGTTGAAGGTCGTGGTTATTCACGTCAAGGATACGCTGGCTGATGGACCGTTGGTCGGGGAATCGATTCTGCAAGAATTGCAAGAAGGGGAGAAGGTGTTAGCGGAGCAGGGTAGGGGGTTGGGGTGTGTGTTTGAAGTTAGTAAGAACGGGGAGAGTTACTACTTCTAGAAAGATGGGGGATATGGCACAGGTTGTGGAAATAGAGATGGGGAGGAGTTGGCTCCGCAAGGAAGAAGCGAATCTGGGTAAGAGAGATCTAACATGGATTGCGGAAGAAACAGTATCATTGCTGGGCGTTAGCTCCAAAGCTGATTTGCCTGATAGCGGCTTCGGCTGGATTTTTTGGCATGTTGATTGGGGCTTTGGCTTTGTGGCTATCTCCCTTCTGCTTCTGCTATGTCATTTGTGCTTACTTTTTCCTTTTTCTGGGCTATTAACGCTCAGATTCCCTAAAGGCCTACTAGCGAGATACTACCTTTGCTTGGCATCTCGAAGATGTACATAGGGTTGATGGGTGTTGCATTGGGAATGCCACTCTCAGGCCTATCTTTGCTTCCAAGTCTGGTGGGCATACCAGCATGAGCACAAACATGTAAGAATACAATAGACATAAGTTTCAGAACGTCTCTCTTCTCTTTTCTTATTCTCACTTTTCCCACCGTTGCTCGCCTTGACCTTCCCGGAAACTACACCACATGTGTTCAGTCCTTTCATGTATTCTGTTCTCGTTGGTAATATCCAAGTTGTTAGTATCCAGGCTGGCAACGTCCACCACGTTCTCAATTTCCAGTGTGCTAATGTCCAATTAACTAACATCGATATTGACAATGTTTAGGTTTTCAACGTCCTGTAGTCCCATATTGAGGACAGAGGCCACCATCTCCCTCTATATAGAATCCCCCACGCAGCGCATTGCTTGCATACACCAGAAACAACATCAACTATATCTTCAACACCAAACCTCCAACACTAGGATCAAAAGTACTAACCAAAACTTCCTATCCACACATCGTGCCAACAAACCACCACCACATTGTAGAGCAAAACAATCCTCTAGAGCCGCTGCGCGAAATAATTTAGGAAGGAATTCATGCCGGATATTGTCCTGCCGCGCTAGCACGTGTTCTACGTACGCCTTGTCCTCAATTGGGCTTGAAGTATTACCGGAGCACTCTGACCCTTTGTCCCGTTTGATGGGAATATAATTCACCCCCGACCTGCAATGCACTAGATACGGCGGAAGGAGTAGCAGCTACTCAACCCGTGGAGTAAGGTTAAGAGGTCGGTGTGAGTGATGTGCTGCGCATCTAGAGGGAGCTGCCAGGGGTGGTTAGGCGCTGTTGCCTTGCACTGATAAGTAATGACTATTCAGTGGCATTGCGCGCTCTGAGGAGTGATTTCTTTCAAGGTTCTCTTTGCTTAATAGTGAGTTCATGTTTTATAAGGCGGAGAGTCGTGTGTGCTAGATGAGAATGGTTCCCTTTGCGCAATTCGATGGGGGGGCTGGAAGTCGTCCTGGTTTCTACTCACTCAGTATTAGCTTCGAGATGAAATCGCTCAATCCCTCTTGCTATCTTTCTTAATCTCTAAACGGACTCCGCTCTTCTATCATCTCTAGTTCACAGGCATTAAACCCCTTGACCAGCTTTCCATGAAACACTTGGACACAGCGACAAGAAAAACCAAGAGGCTGCAGCCTCACAACAACTACCCCCTAATCATGCGTAAGATATATATGATGGTCATGTAATGTTGTATAGCCTGAGCGAGGCCCTCAGCTTCGGCTGTCTAGGGGGTGAAGAAGGGAAAGGCTGCTGTCGGAGGGTGTAAAAGCCATGGAAATTGTCGCCCACATCTACAAGAACTGGAACAAGAAATAGCAATAGAGGTAGAAATTGAGGGGTGAGCATCATCCTCAGCCAATGGTGGACGCTAATCGAATAGGAGAGGCTTCTTAAGTTTAGAAGCGGCTCTCTAGCTCGCAGTTTATAAAGGCCCCCTCTCCAATGCTCTAATCTTCAGTTTAGATCTCTATACGGTTGGAATAAAGTTACAACAGGGCCTTTTCATCTTCTGTCGTTCAGCTCCAAAAATGGCCATTTCGAAGCCCGACGACTTTGCTGCGAGGGCTGAAATAAAAACAGCCGGCAGGGTAACCATTTCTTAGACAAAAAAGATATACTGATATTAGCCATGAGGGTGGGACATATTTTCTAGGTTGAGGAAGTGATTTGCGGAAAGTCTGCTAGTCAAACCCGGGAGCAAAGGACATGGATGATGCATTGAGAAGATGGTGCGCACCATTTTGCTCCTATATGCGATATATTTATCTACGCTGCTAACATGCTGTCAACAAGCTCATCTATCCTATAAATGCGCACAAACCAATGATGCCACCCTCTGCCAACGATCTTCCTTCTCAAATGCGGCATGCCCTCTTCATCCATCCACGTCACGTTTTCATTCATATCAAACGCAGGTGATGATTGCGTAAGGCGTCCCACACAAGAGCTCCAAGCCTTAGTCTTCTCCGTAAACGCACCTATGCATGTTGTTCCTGAGGGTGCTTCTTCGAGGGCGATATAGACCATATCATCGGGGTGGAGTCGCATAGGCAAGCATGCTGTACCACGTTGATTCTTGCGTGCCTTTGGTATCTTCGTGTCTATTCCTCTTTCCGTATGTAGCTCCGTCCGCAAGACCTTCACCCGTCCGGATTTCGTAAGGAAGGTTAACTCTTCAGTCGGGGCGTGTTGTGGAAGACCGGTAGCACCAGAAGCTCCGGCTCCTGCAGCAGCAGTATAGAGGTCGGAGAAGGCGCCGAGAAGAACTCCAGGTTTGCTACCGTAAGGGTAGGACTCATATTGTAGTATGTACAATGATAGTACAGAGGAAGCGATGGGAACCTTCCTATGCCTCTGAAGCTTCTTCGTAGCCGGTGGTGCTCGCGGAGAGTGTACTCTCGGTGGTTTGGAGAGTCTTTTTTCGGGCGGCTGGAGGAGCCTGCACTTGGAGGGCCTATGGGACGCCGATGGGTTCTGGGGCGGCATCCGAGCTTGAATGCTAGCCCAGGAATTAGATTTCGACCGTTCACGAGATTGTGAATATCGCTAGATTGTTGTCAAGCTTCCACTCCAGAGACCATGGATATCCTAGCCTTCGATACCTTGCCCAGTTCCGTACTTCAGTATTCCCCCCAACTTTAGGGGAATATTTTCTAGGAAACGAATGTAACACGAGATATTCTCACCGTACTTGTATAATATCTTAACGAACGTGCAATGGGAGTTGGAGTCTGAAGCGATCGTAACAATTCACCTTCGAAGGATTCCGACCCCGCGTTGGGGCTGTGCAAACTCTCAAACGCTGGCTCAAATATAAATAGGGCTCATAATGTCCTCGTCGACGAGATCCACAAATAGCCTCGCTGCGTAAATATTAGTGAAGAGTGAGAATTGCTTCGTATACATTCAGTTTCGTCCAGAACTGTATTGTGAGTTCACCGCCAAGCATTCAACTATGTCAGCGCAGTCACTCCTCATCGGCCTTGCTTACCTCGACCAGACTCCCCATCCCCGAATCAATGGGCATATGCCATTATCACACCACCGCATCTTAGGATTGTCTCATCAGGCGGCGAGGGAAAAGCATAATCCTACCCCGCACCCAACCAACCGCAACAACCAGGCAGCAGGCGTCAATATCTGCTGCGCTTCCAGCTCAAAGCGTTTATAGGATCGTTCAACCTTCTATCGAGCCTCCCTCTCTTTTCGCTTGCAATTCTCACGGAACCCCTTACGCACCGATAATTACTCAACATGCCGGTAACCACTCGAGCAGCACCAGTCGAGGTCAAATTTGCTCCTGAATTGAAGGGACTCAATGCAACCTCAATTCTGCAAGCTTCATGCCCAAATCAATGGGACACGAGTAGCTCTCTCCTAGACTCGTCGTTCGGAAACAACGAAGCTATCCAAGCTAACCAGAATGGGTTTGTCAAAACTGTGTTGGATGCCTATCTTCAGCACAATCACTTGGTCCTTCGCCCGGAAGACGTCTGGTTCGCCATCCTCATCCAATTCAACTTCTACGTGAACAAACACTCTGAGAAGCTCCGAAAGTTTTTCGTGGAGCATCAAGGCAAGAAGAAGTTAGAGATTTTGCAGACCCCGCCCATGGACCTCGCAGCCTTTGCTCTAGCTATGACTGGGCTCATCGCGGCAAACATCAAGGATCCTGCCTTGAGGGAGTGGATCATGCCCTCATTCTCAACCACAACGAATACAGACAAAGTAACCGCAGCCATCATCATGATGGGAACTATGCAGAAGTACTTTGCTTTCTTCCTCGGCATTACGTGTGGCATCCCGTCGGTAACTCTTATGGGTGAGAGGGAGGATTGGGAAAATATTATGGACCGTATTGACTTTCTTTGTAAGTTTGGCGACGAACACGAAGAGCTCCTTCTGTGGAACTCGGTGCTGAAGTCCGTTGTGTCACGCTTCGTGCAGACATTTGATGCACCCGACTCTCCTGAAGTCGTCCAGTTCTGGCAGAAAACTGTCCACCAGCACACGAACAGTTACTCTGGAGAGAAGCAAATCACGGGTTGGATCCTAGCATTCTGCTTCTGGGAGACTGAGGGAAATCCCCTTATTGCACGGGCTATCGGGCGGCGTAGTCCACCATGGCGCGAAGGAGTCAAGAGTGATGGACTAGAGTACTGGCTTGAAAACAACCGATTGGGACAACTCGATTGGAATGACGTCCCTGCCGGTTATGCACACGTTCCTGTGCATATCAAAGAATACGGCTCGGGCGAAAAGTATCTGACTACCGCGATTGCTGGATCTGTGGGGTGGAGAGTACTGGATAGCGACCTCATTTTTGCAGAGACTCGAGGAGAAAACAAGGCAAAGGCGAAGGCCCGTCCCAGACAACCCCGGCTCCCAATCTTACAATTAGGAAGGCAGGGTAATACCTCGGGTCCCTCAACATACACAGGATCTACCCTGAAGGAAGACACAAAAAGGTCTGGCATTCTGAGCAAGATCCAGAAAGTCTTCTGCTTCAAACCTAAGGACGAGGATAACTCCGGAGAAAATACTGCTCCTTCTAAGCTGACTCCTATTAATGCAGCGCCAGCTAAGGTCGATCAACCTCAAAAGGAAGAGAGCTATTTCCAGCGTATGTTTCTTGAAGAGAGGATGGACATAGTTCCGCAAATCTCGGACCTTAGTGAACTTAGTCAACCATGGGAGTACGAGGCTGGAGGCAAGAGAGATACACTCCAGCCGGTAACAGGCTGGTGGGTTGTTAAATCAAAAGCTGGCGTGTATGGTAAAGATCCAGATTGCCCAGATATTCAGTTTGATTCTGACGCGGAGGACTATAATGATGATCTGGCCAGAAATGGCAGGCCGTTATACTGATATAAAGGAGGAAGGGTCGAAAAACGCGCTACGGTTCTGTGGATTGACATCTTTATTTAGTAGCTGAGGCAATCAATGATCCAGATCTTTCGAGGTAGAATGTTACAGCTCAAGTTGTGTGGAACGATTAGAGTTGTGGAAATGATCCAGTGGCGCTAATCTTCGGTGGGTACGGTAGGCTAGTCGAGATTGATGCTTGGTTAGACGCCCCAGATCTTCTTTGGTTCGCATCGTTCCCACATCTTACTGCTCATCACATCTCATCCACACAATCGAACAAAAACTCTATTCGCAAAAGTCATAAAGTATAGCCTATTGCTTTGATACTAAAGCATACATAGCTGTTGAGTCCCAACCTCGAATACTAACCTGTGTCCTCGGTATTCGACTTCCCCTCTTTCTCCATGGTTGTTGCTACAATTCTAGGACGGATGTGAAAAACCTTTAACCTCCGGCTCTATTGCTCGTACCAGAGATACGTGAACAGCTTGAGCGCGGCCATCTTGCTCACCCCGTACCCAGAAAGGCCAGGAGCAAAATCGATGACAGCCGCGCCTGATGTCGTGTTAATTATTGTTGGACCTTGATTTCGAATTGCCTGCAATACCGTTCGAAATTTTGCTCATCCAGCTCTTCATTTGCACCGCCTTTGACTGTTGGGATCGAGGCCAAGGTCCGCGGCATTATTCACCAAAATGTCAATTGGTTTCCCATCGCTGATCTTCCGCGCCTCCGTGAAAATTTCTTCGATTCTCTGCGGGCCTTCACTGATGTCAAAAATGAAATTCTGCACGATTGTGTTGCGACACCATTTCTTGATGTGATTCCTGGTTTCTTGAAGAGTTGATGCAGTTCGTTCGGAGAGAAACACAGCCCTGGCGCCGGCTTTTGCAAAGGCGAGGGCGCTTGCAGCACCAATTCTGGTCCCGGAACCTGTAATAAAGGCTGATTTGCCAGAAAGAGATACACCTTTAATCTTCAGTTGGAGTTCTGAATAGGTATCATGATGGAATTAGGAGGTAAAATCTCGACGCGTAATAAGTTGTGGGATGGTGGGCAGATTGGTGGGCTTTGTTAGGTATGTTTGGGCAGCACAATATGATGGGCTCAAAATTGCATTCGATATGTGTCCTGGGACTGCTCTAAGGTAGACGTTAAGTGTGACTTATGTACTCAATCGCTCACCAAACTCAATTGCTGTCGGTTAAGGCAGTTTTTGGTGATGAAAAAATTTGTCGCCCTCAAATTTCGCGGCTGCATGGATTCGGGAAGCCACAAGTGCCAAAAATTCCCAGCCAAGGATTAGACAACGGCGTTACAGGTCAGAGAGTCTTGGCCTCCCGCCTTATCGAATTCAGCGCTTATCCCTTGGCACGTAATATGGCACGGTACAAAAGGGCACTTCTCTATCACAATTCGGCCTTACAAAGGTATGACTGGAGTGGATCAATTACCCTGCTGGTGGCGGAAGCTTTTGTGCTAGCTAGCCTCTTTGGTTTATTGCCGCTACTTTCGGTCATATACTGCGTAACGTGCAAATTAAAGTCAGGTCTGTCCAAGTCTTGCGCTAACAATCAATTCTTTTCTTCACTAGTTATCTAAGTTCCCTTACACTAGTCTCCCTTACTCAAACCTCTACTTTTCTGGTCTCTACTCCATAATTCCTCGCACCCTCGCAGCCTTCGTCTAGCAACACTTCGGCCTCAATTTTGCAGACATCAACTTAGCATAACCTGCCTTCAATGTTGTTAAGATCTTCAATAAGCAAACCTTCGTTGATCTTACCGCTACTTTACTAAGGATCATCTCCTTTCCCTTGCAGAATCTGAAATTTCGTGAGCGTTCAGATAATCATCTTTGAGGCAGTGGGCAACCTACGGCTTGCTCGGCGAAAGTGGCGCTGTTGCCAAAGAGAAATACACCCGATTATCAACTGAAGGGTGCCAAATATGATAGAAATAATGACCTCAGCGGAGAGTCTCATTTGTGCCATAGTCCGGAATGTGCAGGCGAGAATCGACGTTTCCGAATGCGTTGATATGACTTAAATAGGTTTTGCTTCAAGTTGGACGAGGTATGGAGCGCATTCTCTAGGGCCTTGTGTCGGCTTAAGGGGAGGACTTTATAAGAGCCAGTGTAGCAGCCGCTTTAACAGGAATACGTTTAGGAGTTTTGCAATGATAATAATTCTGGGCAGCTTCCCATGCCGGACTGCACAACGCGCAGCGCTCGCCAGCGTGTCTTACATTGCGTTGGGAACCACCGCCTAGATCAAGAATGATCGTGGTATATTGGCAGATTACGCACTGGATGCGAAATAGGACTTTTGAGCGAAGCTTCCCCTGCAGCTAAAGCCAGTCAGACAGATGGAAAAGTGTACACATAGGCGAATGGTATCAATCCTGCATTCGCTTGAATAGGTAAACTTACAGGGAACCCTTCGGGTGGAGATCAATAGAATAGTAGTTTTGCAAGCGAGATCGTACTTTGCCAAACGCTCACCGGCCTGCACCGACAAAAGCGTTCAACCGCCCCAAGAGCAGCCATCCACATGCTCAGCCACACACCACAACGATGGGAGTTTTGTGCTTCGTCCAATCAACATCCCTCGTTCAGCTATCCCTCAGACACCCGAATAATTTGGTGGCGGTCTGCTTCTCGAACACAGCGGTATATCAGCAGTATATCCACGACAATGCAACATGCAGCATTACTGTCTTTCCTCACTCTCTTCTCCTCATTAGCGTGATGATTTACTCTTGCATCTTCGTCTAGCAAGATAATTCAGCCGACTAAAACCGTTTCTCCGCGCCTAGGCTGAAACATGGACCCTTCAACAGCCTTTCCACTTGATTTGGCACAGATCGATTTTTCATATCCCACACAAAGCCAACACACCGCACAGCAAGCTCATGAGCCCTACGATATCCATTTGGCGCTCGATGGCTCGGCTTTGCAGATGCAATCCCAAGATAGATGGTCCGCGGCTGGCCTAATCCAGGTCCCGCATTCGTTCGATCCAATTCCAGCACTCCACATCCCCGAGCACCATGGCACCGAACCTTCGAGCACTGCCCAGACTATGCCCGTAACATCTATGGACCCGCCAACCCGTCCACGAAAAAGGAAGGCCCCAACTCTGCCCGCTGTCGCTTGGGAGCCGTACAAGGCTCGAATCCTCGAGCTACATAATACAGAAGGACTGCCTCTAAGGGAAGTTAAAGAAATGATTAAAAAGGAGTTTGGCTTTACTGCTGAGTACGTCTGTGTTTTTAAAATCAAACAAACTAGAATTCTAATGTGCTAATACAAGTATATTTCAAGGATACGACAATACCGAACACGCATAAGCCAATGGGGAAAGGACAAAAATATCAAACCAGAAGAGATGAAAGCAATAGTTAGAAAAAGACAAGAAAGAAAACTTGTCGAGAGTAGCAAACGGGAGCTAGTCTTTACAGTTAGGGGCAGTGAAGTAGAGCCGCAGAAGATCAACCGATGGATGAAGCGGAATAACGTCCGTGAAAGCCTATTGTATGCTCCTAGTCCTGCTGCATGTGAGTAAATCCTTAAAGGATATCACCTCCGTAGGATATTAACATATTATAGCTACCCCATCGGCTGTACGCTGTCAAACTATTTCTGAACGCGATTCTCCAGTTCCCAATTCCGCATTTTCACCAGCAGCTCCAATATTCTCACCAGAAAGCAATGTTTCTATAGCTCAAAGTCCACAAATATTCTCTCCTGCCCTTTCAATTGCAAGCATAGTTCGACCTCAAAGCAACACTTTCATGGGGAAAAGTCCGGCTCCTACCTACCAATATCTTCCCAGCTTCCCTCCGGGCCCCGTTCCTTCTGCAAGTGCCTTTCAAGGCCAGGTAGATTCTGTAGCAACTTTTGTTCCTTATCGGTACAGACAAAAGGAAGAAGAGCGTCTGCGAGAAGAACTCTTGACGGCAGAGACTTTGTTTGGGACCTATCACTCTGGGACTCTAGGCATATTATATCAATTAGGCGAGGTGCTTATAGACCAAGGAAGATATAAATCCGCAGAAGAGGTGATTCGGAGATTATTAGAGCGTCGCCAAGCTATAAGTGGTAACGACGATGTGAACACGCTTAATGCCTTCGAACTTCTAGGGCAAGTCCTACGCCGTCAGGGACTCTATGCTAAGGCCGAGAAACTGTTCCGACGGACATTTGGTTCCAGAAGTGTTATTTTAGGAGTTGAGCATGGAGACACGCTGAACAGTATGAACAACCTAGGGTTGACATATATGAGTCAAGGGCGGTGGAAGGAGGCCGAAGAGCTGGGGGTGCAAGTGGTGGAGACG